CAAGTCATAGACAATGGAATAATATCATCAAGGTGCTAAAATAAAAGTAACCTGCTAACTGGGGTGCCTGGGTGGCTCAGTCTGTTAAGCGTCTGACTCTTGATTTTGGCTCAGGGTCATGATTTCAGGGCCCTGAGATCAAGCCCCTCATAGGGCTCCATGCTCAGCAGGGAGTCTGCTTGTCCCTCTCCCTCTGCCCCTTTCCCCCACTCTCTCTCTCTAAAATAAATAAAATCTTTTAAAAATAATAAAATAAAGTAAAATGAAATAAAATAAAATAAAGCAGGAAGGCCAGAAGCGGAAGTTCTCACGCCCTACCGCTCCTGGTCAATTGTAAACCCCAACAGGAAGAGAGGTACCCTGCATTCCTAACAGGAAGAAGCCTATACTTCACTACCCCAGCAGGAAGAAGAGATTTTCTCTTTGCCTGGCAACAGCCCAACTAATGCGAGACTGTCACAACTCGATCAATGAAAACCAACTACACTTAGAATTCCCAGTTTATGCCAATGGATTTTTTTTTTTAAGATTTTATTTATTTATTGGACAGAGAGAGACACAGCGAGAGAGGGAACACAAGCAGGGGGAGTGGGAGAGGGAGAAGCAGGCTTCCCGCGGAGAGGGAGCCCAATGTGGGGCTCGATCCCAGGACCCTGGGATCATGACCTGAGCCAAAGGTAGATGCATAACGACTGAGCCATCCAGGTGCCCCTTTTTAAAAAATTTTTAAAAGATTTTATTTATTTATTTGACAGAAAAAGAGCACAAGAAGGGGGAGTGGGAGAGGGAGAAGCAGGCTGCCCGCTGAGCAGGGAGCCCGATGTGGGGTTCGATCCCAGGACCCTGGGATCATGACCTGAGCCTAAGGCAGACGCTTAACGACTGAGCCACCCAGGTGCCCCGAACTTTTTTTTAATAGCCCCTCCCAACTCCCCCCTTTCTTTCTCTTAAAAAAAGGGGGAAAAAAAAAAGCATCTCCTGTCTTTTGTTCTCTAGTCTTGCCTATGGTTTTGCCATAGCTTGCATACCCTGAAATATGATCTTCTGCTATTCCCAAAAAAAACCATTTTTGCTGGTAAAATAACTGACTGTTTTTTTGAGGTTAACACTTCTCAAAATTATCTATAAATTAAATGAAATCTCAACAATATTTCAAGACTAAACTTGCTTTCTATAGTAATTGATAAGCTAATTCAAAAATGTATATGCATACACAAAGTATCTAAATGGCCAAACCAAGCCTGAAGTAGTACCATAGAGTTGGAGGGCTTATTCTACCTAATGTCTGGACTTATTATAAAGCTACTGTAATCAAGACAGTGTGATATTGACACAAGGAGAGACATACAGCTTAATACAACAGAACAGAGAGTCCAGAAAGTAACCCACATTTATAGGGTCAGTAGATTTTTAACAAAGCTGCTAAGTTAATTCAGTGGAGAAAGAATATCCTTTTCAAAAACAAGTCCTGGGGACACTTGAGTGGCTCAGTCAGTTAAGTGTCTACTTTCGGCTCAGGTCATGATCCCAGGGTCCTGGAATCCAGTCCCGCATTGGGCTCCCTGCTCAGTGGGGAGCCTGCTTCTCCCTCTGCCTGCCGCTCCCCCTGCTTGTGCTCTCTCTGTCAAATAAATAAATAAATCTTAAAAACAAAAATAAGTCCTGGAATAACTGGATATTCATGTGAGAAAAATGAATTTCAACCTTTACTTCAACCATACACAAAAACTACAAATGTATCCTAGTCCAGAATAGAAAAGTTGAAGTTATAAAACTTCTAAAATAAAACAAAATATTGCAACTTTAGGGGCAGCCAATTATATTTTTAGAGAGGACACAGAACGTAATAACCGAAACATAAAAATTTGGTAAGTGAACTTGGTCAAAATGTAAAACATTTGCTCTTCATATGATAGCATTCAGAAAATGAAAAGAAGTTAAACCACAAACTTGGAAAAAATAATTGCAATACATCTATGTGACCAAGGACTTGTATCCAGAATATACAAAGGGCTTTTTAACTCAATAAGTCAAATAACTGAATTTAAAAATGGGACAAGATTTGAACACATAATTCATAAACGAAGATATACGAGTGGCCAGTAAGAACATAGTAAGATGTTCAACATCATTGTTCATCAATGAAATGCAAAGTAAAACCATAGTGAAATACCACAACAGAAGTGGTTAATGTGAAAAGACTGACAATACCAAGTGTTGCTGGGATGTGGAGGAACTGAAATTCTCCTACATTGCTGGCAGCAATGTAAAATGGTACAACTACTCAAAAAAAGTTTGGCATTTTCTTAACTAGTTAAATATGACCCAGAATTTTACTCCTAGAAACTTGCCCAAAAGAAATGAAAACCTGGGGCGCCTCGGTGGCTCAGTCGTTAAGCGTCTGCCTTTGGCTCAGGTCATGATCCCAGGGCCCTGGGATGGAGCCCCGAATCGGGCTCCCTGTTCAGCGGGGAGCCTGCTTCTCTCTCTACCTGCTGCTCCCCTTGCTATGTTCTCCCTCTCTCTGACAAATAAATAAGTAAAATCTTAAAAAAAAAAAAAAAAAAGAAAGAAAGAAAGAAATGAAAACCTATGTCTACCCGAAGACTTGTACACTAACGTTCATAAGCAGCCTTACTCATAATATCCCCAAACTGGAGACAAGCTACAAGTTCATCAACAAGTGAAGAGGTACACAAACTGTGGTAAAGCCATACAATGGAATACGACTAATCAATAAAAAGAAATGAACTTTGATGCACGCAATGTGGATGAATCGCTAAACAATTGTGCTGAGTGAAGCCAGTCACAACAGACTATGTACTGGATGATTCCATTTATGTGAAACAGCAAAACTTACCTATAATGGCAGAAAGTGGGAATGACGGGGAAGAGAACAATTTGGGAGTGATGGACAAGTTCTATACCTTGATCGTGGTGGTAGTTACATGGGTAGGTGTAGTTACCAAAATCCATTGAACTACATGTATACTTAAAATGAGTGCGTTTTATTATATGTAAATTATCCTTCAGTAAAAATTATTTTAAAAAAGAGAGAGACTGCAAGCCAGCTAGCCTAGGCCAATTCAATAACACTCCATGCCTGTCATGTGACAATTTCAAGAAACGACAATCAGAGCCCACTGTGGATATTTCAGATTGATCCTAGGAAGGAACAGCTGCTGGTGGCCACATGCTCACTGTGTGGAGAAACCTCTTAAGCTCCAGAGAGGCTGAGGTAGGAGGTACAGGCCAAAGTGGACGTACAGGCTGTTCTGAACCTTTGGTTCTTGGCTCTTGCAAGGTCTACTAATAACAACCCTCTCCCTTCTGATCTTTTTAATTTTAAACTCCTTTGGTTGCCTTTCTGTCATTTGCCATCAGAAGAGCTTTTGTCAGAAGAGAACACTGAGCTTTGAAGAAAGCACATCCTAGACTCCAGCCTGATCCATATCCAGTGCCCAGTGGGAAGGACTGTGGGGGGTGGGGATGGGGGGAGGTAGGCCACTCTTGCCTCTGGTTTGTAAATATAGAGCGGATTGGGAAATGAGCTTTCGGTCAGCGCCTGACATTGCCAGGAGAGGAGATAGAGGAAGAAAAAACAACACACATCCTATCCAGGAGGAACTGGGGAGCAACCAGGGGGTTTCACTCTGGATTTCCTGGTGGCTGTAGGTGGAACACGGCTGTACACTACCTTTCCAGCCTTCCCCAGCCCCAGCAGAGCTCGCTGTGTGGCCCCATGCGGCAGTAGTAGGCCAGGGAGGCCCACCATGGTACTCCTTGCCCTTCCTGCCTTGTCCTCCCTCTGCTGTCCCCAGGTTACCTTTCTCCTCAGGTAAGAAACCTTACCCCTCTGGAAGTTATTTAAGACAGCCTGAGGCCAGGCAGAACCAGGGCTAGAAAGAACCAACAGTTGTTGAGTCATGGGGCCAGGGTTGGGGGGTGTGGGGGGAGGTGTTCACTTGCGTGAGCTCATTAACGGTGTACCATTACCTACCTTCCTTACAGTTACCCCGCTGAGAGCCCTGGGCCCCCTCTGTCCAACACAGGAAGGGGCCCCCTACATTTATGCGCAGGATTTTTACCAGTGATACTCACCTGTGTCTAGCTCTGTCTAGGTACATTATCTCATTCCACTTTCGCAGTGATGGTTATAAAAAAGCAATTCCTACCTAATGAGGAAACCAGTTCAGAGAGGTCCAGGGATGGCCCAGAGTACACAGAAATGAGTGGCAGGTGGATCCTATTCTAGGATGATCGCTTTTCCCACAAGTTCCTCTATCTCCTTGTTGTGTGATAAGGATGGGAGAGGTTGTACAGTTCAAAGCAGGAAAAACCCTTCTGATTAGATACCTGACGGGTCAAGCATACCTGACATTAAGCCCTTCTCCCATTTACTAACACAGATCCATGAGCCCTGGGGAAAATCCCTTCTCTCCTCTGATCCTGTTTCCTTGGCTGTGAACGGGAGCAACAGGGTCCAGGCCAGGTGTCATAAATCTTTTCAGTAATAGGCTAGTGAGTAAGTATTTTAGGCTTTGTGGTATATATGGTTTCTGTAGCAACTACTCAGTTCTGTCTTTGAAGTCGGAGAGCAACCCCAGACAATACTTACCTGAATGAGCATGATTGTGTTCTAATAAAATTTTATTTATAGACACTGAAATTTTAAATCTCTATAATTTACATGTGTCAAAACTATTAATTCTTTTTATCTTCTTTCAACCATTTAAAGATGTAAAAACCATCCTTAGCTCATCCAGCTGTACAACATGAGGCCAGCAAGCCGGACAGGGCCCCCAGCCCTAGGCTACAAAAGTTTGTCAGAAGCCTGTATGCACCACGGGCAGAAGCACTTTGAGACCAGCCAGGCACTGGGCTGCTTCCGGACCCCTCAGATCCAGGCTGTGCAGTGTCCCTCTACGACTGACCCTCGGCTGGCACCCAGTCCGGGTCTTAGAGAGCAAGAGCCCACCCGGCTCCCAGTGCACACTCACCCAGGGTCCCTGCACACAGCAGGGCGCAGATGGCGAGCCTCATAGTCCGCTGCGGTACGCGACACTGAGTCGCGGCTCCGGGCGCCTGAGCAGGCTTTACGTGCCCGGGGGTGTGGGTTTGGGGGGAGGGGGCGCGGATCCGCCTACTCCGAAGGGTTAGCCTTTTGGGCAGATCACCCTCGCTACACCCCCGACCCCTCCCAGGGGCCGCTCGCCGGCACCCCGGCCCTCCACAGGGTTGGAGGACGACAAGCTGCGAGCCACGCTCCCGCCGACCCGCGGCCACCCACTCTGCCCAGCTCCCGGAGCTGCGAGGCTGCACCTCTCTGCTCGCGGGATAGGGGTCGGCCAGCGGGAGGTGCGAGCGGAAGCAACCTCGGAGCCCGCTGGACTGACCGCCTTCTCAGAGAAATAGGCTGGAGGCAAGTGATCCGCCGGGCTCCCAGGTTAGTTACTGGAACGTAAGTTGACTGACCCGTGGGCCCTCATCCAGCCAAGCAGCTCTTAGATGTTTGGAAAACACAGACTTCAGGGGAAGGGGGGGCAGTCCACAGGATGAAACCTAGGGACTCTTCCCTCAGGAGAGCATGTGCACACGTACACACGATGTTTTGAACACAATTTTCGGGGATCCTCAGACTCTTCTTCGAAGGCATCTCCGCTGCCCACTCCAGGTCCCTCCCGGAAGGCCCCCCCCTCCCCAGTCCAAAAGACACAGTTCCCTGCAACCCTCTGCTGAAGACTAAGGTCAGGTGAAACGCTGAGCCCCCGAGGGCTGCTTCTGCTTGGTCCTGCAGCCTGCAGCCTGCAGCCCAGTCCTCCTGAAGTCTATGAGCTCCACCTGGGGAAATGGTGCTGGGTCCATTGGATATATACATGGAAGAAAAAATGAATAGAGGCTCCTATCTCACACCATTCACAAACATCAATTCCAAAAAAATCTAGGCCAGGTGACTTAGCTTTGTCTTCTATGACATTATGCTATCTCACCAAGTTATTTAGTTTATAACTATAGTTATATAGCACAAATTAAAGGGCTTATAAATCATTTGTTAAATTCAAGGAGACCTGGGTCCCTGGGTGGCTCAGTTGTTAAGGGTCTGCCTCCCGGAGTCCTGGGATCAAGGCACGCATCCAGCTCCTTGCTCAGTGGGGAGCCTGCTTCTCCCTCTGCCTGCAGCTCCCCCTGCTTGTGCTCTCTCTCTCTCTAACAAATAAATAAATAAAATCTTTTAAAAAATAAAAAATAAAATTCAAAGAGACCTAATGAGTGAATATTTGGGGCAAAAAAAAAAAAGTCACAATAAGAGAAGTCATCTGCTTCTTTTTACCTAATTTATCTTTAACCTGACTGGAAAAATAAATCTATGTATTAAAAAAAAATCATTTCCAGGTGGGTTCTAGATCTAAATGTGAGGGGTAAAATCTACGAAGCTTTCAGAAGGAAACAGAACATTTTCATGAACTTGGTACAGGCAAAGATTTTTTAAACAGTATACAAAAAGTGCTAAACATAAAGGAATATGTTAAAATTGCACTCAGAAATATTTAAAATTTCTGTTTACCAAAAGACACCATTGAGAGTGAAAGGCAAGCCACAAAATGGGAGAAAATATTTGAAATACATCCAACAAAGTCTCTTAGCTATAATATATAAAATACTCCTACAACTCAATAAAAAAAGCAAAAAATCCAATAGAAAAATGGGCACATCACAAAAGAAGTTATCTAATTTGCCAATAAACATGAAAAAGTATTCAGTTTTATTATTAATCAGGGTAATTAATATTAAAACTATAATGAACTTCATCATGTACTCCAGAATAGCTAAACTTTAAATAAGATTTAAATTTATAAATTTGTATTTCATCCCAAACCGAGTATTAACAAGGATATGGGGAAACTGGAACTTTCATACACTGTTGGATGTAGGAAAGTGGAAATTGTACAACCACGTAAAAAACTGGCAGTTATTAAAGCAGAATATAGGTGTACCCTGTATCAACAGAAATGCATACACACGTTCACCAACAGACATATACAAGAATTTTTACAGCAGTATTACCTCATAATAGCCTTAAATTGAAAAAAAAAAAAAACAAATTTCCATCAATACTCAATGATATGGTCACTATTGGAATACCACAGAGCAATGAGAATTATAATAAAGGCATGCCTCATTTTATTGCACTTTGCTTTATTGTGTTTCACAGACACTGTGTGTCATATTTCACAAATGGAAGGTTTGTGGTAACCCTACGTCAAACAAGTCAGTGGGTGCCATTTTTTTTCCAACAGCATTTGCTTGCAATGTGTCTCTGTGTCTCATCCTGGTAATTCCCACACTATTTCAAACTTTTTCATTATTATCATATTTGTTACAGTCATCTGGGATCAGTGATTATGACTCACTGAAAGCACAGATGACGGATAGTATTTTTTAGCAATAAAGTGTTTTTAATAGACTACAGAATACTGTAAACATATCTTATATGCTCTGGGAAACCAAAAATTCATTTGAATCTCTTCACTGTGATATTTATTGTGGTGGTATGGAACCAAACCTGCAATATCTCTGCCTCAGAATGTATATGAAATAGCACAGTTGATGCTCATGAATATTATGTTTAGACAAGCTAGACAGAAAACAGTGCCTCAGAAGATGGGGTTCAGAATTAACTTTCCCTTCACTTCTCTGGCATTTAGGGTCACCTTCTTGTTTCTTTGGCACTTCTGTCTACAGTCAGACCCTCCAGACTCTGCTTTGGAGTAGGATTAAAAGGAACTTGATATTTAACTGTTTGTAGAATGAAATAACACAAGAAACACATATGACAAAATAGTTACTTTTAAAATATGGATGGAGGGAATATGAGTATTTCTTGTTAGATTTTGCTACATAGATAAGATTTCTGAAAATTTAAAAAAAAACTAAAACTATGTATTTTTTGAGTGATAGGGTTTTATATTTAAGTTTCTAGTGCCGTAATGGATAAATGTAGGGATTATAACTTTAAAATGATATTAGTGGGACACCAATGGACCCAGCACCATTCCCTCACTGTACTTTAGTACAAAACTTTGTTAAAAATCAGGAAAATATAATAAAATCTTTAAAAAAAAAATCAGGCAATTATATATGTGTTTCAGGACTCTCCATTCTGTTTTACTGATCGTATATCAATCCTTCCATTTATATCTCACTGTTTCAATTTCTGTAGCTTTATTGTAAGTCTTGATATCTCATAATGTAAGTCCTTGGTTTTTTCCCCTTCAAGATGGAATTGGGTTTGTTTGTTGTTACTGTTTGATTTTGCAGTCCCATGTAAATTTTAGAATTCACATGTCCATTTCCAGAAAAAAAAAAATACCTGCAGACGCTTGATTGGAACTATACAAAAATACAGATCAATTTGGAGGGATTTGACATCGCCACAATATTAACCCTTGCAATTCATGAATATGTATATCCCTGCAATTATTTAGGCCTTCTTTACTAGCTCTTCTCTTGATACTATTTTGTAGTATTCGGTTTAGAGGCCTTGAACATCCTCACTAGATTTGTTCCTATATATCAACTGGTTTTTGGTGCTATTATAAATGGGGTCATGATTTTAGTTCATTTCCCATTTGGTTGTTGCTGGTATATGAAAAAATAATTGGTTTTTGTATATTGACCTTGAATCCAATGACCTTACTAAATTATTTTATTAATTATAATAAGTTTTTTGGATTTTCTGTGTACATCCTTTTGCCTTTGTGAATAATGTTTTTGTTTCTTCTTTTTCAAGTCTTATAATTTTATTTCTTTTTCTTGATTTACTGCACTGACTAGAACTTCCAGTACATCACTACATACAAGTAGTGATAGAGGAGGAAAGTTTTCAATAATTCACCATTGGGTAAAATGTTTGCTGGTGTTTTGTTTCGTTTTAGATGTTATTTATCATATTAGAGAAGCTCCCTTCCTTCCTGGCTTGCCTATTTTTTTCTTTAAATCATGAATGAATGCTGAATTTTTATCAAGTTTTTTCTGTACCTATGGAGATAATCATATGATTTCTCCTCCTTTTTCTGTTGATGTGGCGAACTACTCTGACTTTTAAATGTTAATCTACTATTACATTCCCGGAATAATCCCCACTTGGTTGTTATGTATAATGATTTTAATATACAGCTGAACTTGAATTTCCAACATTTTGTTTAGGATATTTCGCATCCATCTCATCTTTTTTCATGAGAGAAATTGTTCTTCAATTTTACCCTATTTTAATATCCCCATATGTTTGGTTTTAAGGCTATGTTAACTCATAAAATAAATTGGGAAATGTCACTGTTCTCATTTTTGGAATATGTTATATAAGAGTAATGTTATTTTCTTCTTAAATCTTTGGAACAGTCCACCAGTGAAGCCACTCATGTCTAGAGTTTTATTAGTGAAATGGTTCTCAATTCCAGATTAAATTTCTTTTTTAAATTTATTTTTTTTAAAGATTTTTTATTTATTTATTTGAGAGAGAGAGAATGAGAGACAGAGAGCACAAGCAGGAAGAGGGTCAGAGGGAGAAGCAGGCCCCCCGCTGAGCAGGGAGCCCGACGTGGGACTCGATCCCGGGACTCCAGGATCATGACCTGAGCTGAAGGCAGTCGCTTAACCAACTGAGCCACCCAGGCGCCCACCAGATTAAATTTCTTTAATGGCTAGAAAAATGTTCAGATTTTCTGATTCTTCAAGTTTTTTCAAGTATTGGTAATTTTGTTTTCCAAAAAATTTGTCCATTTCATCTAAATTTCAAACTTACTGATGTAAAGTTTTTCTCAATATTATCTTTATGTTTACCAGTTTATTACAAAAAATATTATAAACGGTACAGATAAACAGCCAGATGAAGAGACTATAGGTGAGGTCTGGAAGGGTTTCAAGCACAGGAACTTCTGTCCTTGAGGAACTGGAGAGCAATACATGGGTGCATTCACCAACCTGAAAGCTCTTATACATTTTAATGTGGGGGGATTTTTGCTACAATCCTTGTTTTCATTGCTGATATTGGTAATTCATGTTTTCTCCTTTTTCTTGATTCTTACTGCCAGGGTTGTATCTACTTCATTAATCTTCATAAAGAGCCAACTTTTGGCTTTGTTGATTTTCTCCATTGTAAATTCATTTATTATTTCATTAATTTCCGTTCTTTTAACTTTCTTTTGGTTTTGTTCTTTTTCTAGTTTTTATAAAAGGAAGTTAAAATCATTGATTTTCACACTCTCTTCCACTCTAATATATGCATTTAAGGCTATAAATTTCCCTATAAAAAAGAATGCTTACTTTTTCTTGATATATCTTTCTGATTATCCAAATATTTTTAAAATATATATTCTAATTCAACATATATTCTAATTTTCATTGTGGTTTCCTACTGGACTCATAATTTATTTAGAAGTGTATTGCTTGATTTCCAGTATTTGTCATTTCCAAGCTATCTTTTGCTGTTTATGTCTAGTGTAGTTCCATTATGGTAAGAAAACACGCTCTGAATGAGTTGTCTTTTGCAATGTGTTGAAGATTGTTTGGTGGTCCCCCATACAGTCACTTTTTGCTGTTTAGTGTGCATTTTAAAATAATGAGTAGCCTATAGTTGTTGGGTATTTGTATATATAACACAAACATTTATATATAATGTATATTACATATAAATAAAATACATACATATGTGTGTATATATAAGAAAATTGTATTGCTGTTTCCTGTTTGATTT